AAAAATGAAATTAAAAAGAAAGTCATTACTTTCAAAAATTACATTAAATATAATGAAACAGAATTCACTGTTTTTGTTCTCAGTAGAGTCAAATTAATATATTTTGGCTTGAGTTTTCTTTTGCAAGGACTGAAGAATGGTGGATGTTCTTATTTGAGCAAGAAAACTTTGCCGTTATAATATTTAGACCTATGGGCCTGTAGGCAAGCAAGATGTAATTAACCACTTAGCTGCACTGAGTTACACTTATCTCCACTTCGCCTATTTAGCTTCCCATAAGCACGCTAAGCACCTCTTTAGAATGCACTGACCTCTAATTATTTCTTGCTTTATGTATCCCTTAGCCCACATTGAAGAAATGAAAAATATTCCTATTGGTATGCAGTGCAGAATAATACAACCTAGTTTTGTTTTATTTGTTCTGTATGCAGAACGAAATTTCGACATCACTCTGTTCCCCAAAACGCAAAATGCAGTGCATAACGATTAAATTTCATGCTTTATCATGTAAAGTGACACCGATTAAATTGTTTTTAAGTAGTGGGCTAAATTCTCTATTGCACTAGGGGGCAAAATTGCATTACCCAGGCTTTTGACTGTCACATTACTAAGTTGTGAAAATTATAGCTGTGGCATGAGCTTTATTTTGACATCTTTCTGAAGTCATAAGATGCACTGGATTTGTGGGATTTTTACAGTGGAACCCTTGCATTAATACATCTATCTTAATAGCATTTGTGCCTTTCTGAAGTCACAGCATGTCTGGTAGAAATTCTGGCTTTACTGGAGTAAGTTTTAGCCTGGCAGTAATAGCATTATAATAACTGTCTTGGCACAAGAGCACCTAGAACCAAGAGGAAGAACCTAGTATGTTATATGTGTGATTTACTTTTCTCTAAAATTTGAAGGTTTATGCCTCATAAATATTTTTATCCAGTTTTTATATGCATCAGTCTGAGAATATGCAAGTGAAGCCTAGCCTGCAGATTTCAGTTTGGAATACATTGCAGTAATTCCCACCAGGATAAGAAGAGAAATTATTCTAGAATTCACCTATGAGTGGGAAGTCGAGAAGGAAGGAAAACTTTAACATTAAGCAGATGGACCTCCCTCCTTTTTTATTGGATATTTGGGATGCAAGATAATCATCTCCCCAGATACTGGAAAGGATAGACATGCTTTGTCATATCGAAAGAATAAAGTTTAAGACCTAGTTTATGAAGTAGAAACTTAAGAATGGAAAGGAGACATTTTTGTATTCTCAACTCCCCATCACAGGCCAGGCTGCAGGAGCTGCATCTTAGAGAGTTCACAGAAGCAACTGTGAACTACAGAGCTGCAAGCCACAGACCACTTCTTGACACAGTGCTACTTTAGTCTGATATTTACATCTGGTTTCAAAACCTACAGTCTACCAAAGGAGAAAACAGGAAAGGCCATGGACTCTGCTAATGTCTTAATTCCTAGATTCTTGAGATATATTTGGAAACAGAACATACAGGAGCAAAACAGGCAGCAAGACCTACTGGTGTCCTCTTTTGGGGCTGATTCTGGGAGAGAAATTTTGCTCTGATCAACTGAAACTTAAATCCAGCCCATTTCACCTTCATTTGCGAGGAAAGGGAAAAACATTCCTGTCCTCAACCTCAGTATGGAACCGATATTTGGGAATTCAAAGCTTTTGAACTGTGAAGGAACATGTGATTTGAAGCACGTTGTTTAATTTGCTTTCTAAATCTTTTTAAAAAAATAGTAATACGTTCTTTCTTGGCAGTCTTTCTCTGTTAAATAGATTTTCTGGAGTAAGAGCTGTCTTATTCAAAGTTCTGTATAGAGATCATCTGATGTGTCTCTGATCTCAGCTGCTAGTGTAATGTAAACACATGCTGCTTTACTATTACAAAGTTTTGGTCTAGTTTTTTTTTAAACGTTTTGTGCCAAGCTTGTTCTATCCCAAATGAATGAAGAAGCAGCATTTTGAATGAAAGCGATAGCAGAAAACCAACATATTCTACAAGTCCCAAACTTCTGGTTGGGAGTTTCTGTGTCTGAGGGTTGCAGTTCCCTCCAGATCAGGTTTGAGACATGGACAAGAAGCAATAGAAGAAAGGTAGAGAGATGACACAGTTTAGGGGTCTTTGCTGGCTCTAGGTGGTATCTGGAAGGAAGTTGCCATTCTCTTTTCCTTCTCCTCCTTGTTTTTATTACAGTATGAGGCTAAGAGTTGATCTGTGTTTGTGCCTTCTTCCTGCCACATATGCATAACATCTGCGGTTAATAAGAATCTGAGAGGAGGTGGTTCTTTCTCTTTCCTTTATCCTTTAGATAATACTTATTCTCCCTCCCCTTCCTTCTGGACATACAGGGGAACGAGGGAGGGAATCTAGGCTGATTTATGCTTTTGCTTTCATGTACAGCTGTATGTGTCTGAGAATATTACAATTAGGTCCCTCTCTCCTGACCTTTCACTAAAGATCCCTCATATTTTGTGGTTCCCAGGCTTCTCAGACAGAAGTAGGATAATAGGCCTGTGATCTATTTCTGCTTTAGCTACTTGCAGGTTTTGGCCAACAGCAATGCTGACCAGCTGCTCCTTGTTTTGCGGAGTTCCTGCTGCAACTTTGAGCAACAGGAAAAGAAGCTTCATTCTGAAGTGTTACAAAACCAGTGGTAGATGTTTTTTTTTTATGAGCTTTTTAGTACCAAGTGCAAAATAGATGTAGTTTCAGAAAATGCTATCATCAATCTCATCCCAACTTGCCTCAGCAGAAGCAGCAAAACCAAGAGTCTTGTGGGATATTGATTCTCTGGTTCTGTGTAATAGGTAAATCAGATGAGGTTGTACCTATATGCAGAACAGCATGGAGTCACCTTATTATATTTGGGGCTGTGTGTCCCATTTCACTTGGCTGTTCACTAAACAAACAGTTGCTAAGCTTTCTCTTCAAGAAACAAAACAAAACAAACAACATAACATCAAGTGCAAGCAATTGTTGAAGTTCTTAAATTGATAAATGTAAGTGAACTTGTTTTGTTTATTTACTTAGATTTTCTCGCTTCCACATCTGTGGGGGTGCTCTGTTCTAAAATATGCCCTACGTGATGAGGTAAAGCTGTAAGTGTTGCACACTGATGCCTCCCAATGACCAACTGAAAGCAGCACACTACGTATGTTTGTAAAGCTTTTCCCCTCCTCTCCGCCATAATATCATCATTAGATCATCTTTTAAGGAGCTATTAAACGTAGCCTCTAGCATCCAGCAAGTGTCTTTGTGTTAAATTCTCATTTGATGTTGTGCAGTGGTTTCATATGGATCTAGCACAGGCAAACAGCTGCATCACTTTAAGATGCTTGGTTATGGAGCCAATAGCTTTTGTACTTTTAACGCAGTATTAAGCATTCTGAGGAAGTTGAAATAATATCAAGAGTAATGTCAAATTGAAAATAGAATCATTGGAAATGTCAATATATATAAAAATCCATTTACTAACTTGTGATACCCAACAAAATCTTAAATCTTCTGTTGTCTGAAGAGCAAGTTTTGTTGTTTAAGGAATGTATTCTCATTTAGAGGACTCTCATAGTTTTAACAATAATATTCTTCATATGCTCCTACCTCGTTTTTTTGTATTTCTCCTCACACAACTGTATTTAAATATGGCCACGATAATCCAACTCATTTTTGGATGCCAATTAAAAAAATAAATCTATTTTAAGGGACTACCTAAAAACCCAGGAAGTAGGCATCACCTTCCTGAGACAGTGTTTGCAGTTCAAGGTCAGACAATTGATCTTTAACCCACTGTACGTAGTTCAAAGTGGTTGTTTAGCACAGGGGTTGTCTGCTAATATAGTAGTTTTTTTGTGCTTTTATTGGTGGAACTTAATGAGATTACATGTATTTTGGTGAATAATTGCTGCCATGTAAGCTTGCCACCTACCTACAGTGACTCTTATGAATATTTGATGATAATAAGTAGTAGGAACTCTACTGTGATCCTCACATGCACTTAAAAAGTAAAAAAAAACAACAAGGCAGCACAGGAATAGCTTTTGTTCTGCTCTTTTGCTTGCAGTAAGCAGTGTGACATTCATATAAGTGCTATTAGACATATCTAACGTGTTTCTCAATACTAGCAGTTTCATTTAAGCCATAATTTTATTCATTCAGCATGGGAAAACTGCAGGGTGGAAGATGCAATTTTTATCATCTAGATTTCTTTTTTAATGTGAGGTAGTTAGACTAGCTAGTCTCATGCTTGTAGCTGTGAATTTACAGTTGAGAAAATATTATTTTGCAGGTGCAGCAGTTTTTATAAAATCTAAAAATAATGTATGTAGATCAACAATCTTGCAGACTTCTGTGGGAAGTCTTTGGCCCGTTTAGAGTTGCCTATAAACCTTATTTACCTCAGCAGTGCTTTACTGTCATGTTGCACATTAAGCAACGTCTGTAAGTAGTCAGTAGCAAGTGCTACTTTTTGTCATCCCTTCAACTGGGCTTTTTTTTTCTTTTTCTTTTTTTTTTTTTGATATGCAGTATAATATATGTTTTCACCTTGTATGTTGTTTCAAGATGTTTTTGCATGGAGCTGTTACTAAAGTCAGATTACCTATGTAGTCGCCTTGGATTCTGATGCTTGGTTTTGCTAGCACATTTGGAAAAAAAAATCACTGCTCTATTACAGGCTTGCTGTACAGACCACATTCAAATCACAGGCTGACATTTCTAAGTTGCTTGCTTAATTTATATATTTTTCTTTTTGTTCCAAAACTTGCAGGGGCTGCTACACAGCTATATTTTTTCCATGCTGAAGTGGTGATGACAGCAGTGACAGTTTTGACATTCATAGTTATTTGAGCTTTTTGTACTTGAATGATCTTGTATAGTAATTACTTTTTCCCATAGTCCTGTGCGTTACGCATGTAAAAGTTCACTAATGCTACTGTAGTATTTTTCCTGAAAAGCAGAAGTTCACAGAAATTCTTTTTCTTTCAGGGAATCAGTTTCCTCCTATTGCAGCTCAAGATCTTCAGTTTGTTCTGAAGGCTGGATATCTGGAAAAACGCAGAAAAGGTCAGTTTAGCTGTCTTTGTGAAAATCGTTTAGTGTGTAAGTTGTGCTTGGAGGTTCTGTGTGCCAGTATTTGTAGTTGTACATGCAAATAAGTTCATACAGAGTGATAAATAAAATGGAACAGCAGTTGAAATGTAGAATCATTATTATGCAAAAGAAAGAAGAATGCATAATTGCTCCTGTGTTGTTAAAAGATGCTCCCATTTCTTTGTGGACTGAAAAAAAAATCATGCTGTGAAAGTCCAGCGTCAGCCATAATTCGGAGACTTTCAGATATTTTTGAAGAAAACATTAGGAATTTATGTAAAAGTACCATATGTTGACTTCATGTTTCAGTGAGCATCAAGATTTATTTTCCTTCAAGAGGGCAAATATTGATCTCAGCTTTGCTTCAGTCAATATTTACCTTGATTCAGTAAATCCTATATTGTCACCTCAATAACCACTTAATGCTACAATAACTATAGGAAATATTCAGGAAGTTGTTAATAATTTCCTTATATTTAATGTTACACATGCCTTCACTCTCTATATGATTTCAAATTCCCATTTGTTTCCACTACCATCTATTATTTCTAGCTTTTTTCTCAATTCCATACATGTCTTCTCCATATCCAGATATTGCTTTCATTACCTAGCACTTTTCCTATCTCCTTCCCTCTTCCCTCACCTTTGAAAAGAAGTAATGTATTCATGTTCAGTAATGCCATAAAGAAATGTAACACGAGTTATATTATTTGCAGACCACAGTTTTCTTGGCTTTGAATGGCAGAAGCGTTGGTGTGCTATCAGTAAGACGGTTTTCTACTATTATGGAAGTGACAAAGGTAATTGTAAGAATAATGATAAACTATTAAAATAATATTTTTATGAACAAATGAATATGAAAGCTTCAGTTGGAGTTGGTAACTGAGAAACCAAGGTTATTCTTAGAGAGCAGATGAAACTTTTAGAAGATTTTTTGTTTGTTTGTTTTGTGCTTTGAATTTTAAAAATGTATAAATATGGATACTCTCAGGCTCTGTAACTGATTTGCGCATTTTTTAAAGCAGGTAAACTGAGGAAAAAGGTTTTAGTTATTTGTAAAGCTACTTGACATGCCAGTAACAGCTGGCTATTAGGCTTGATAATACTCCGGTTCTTAATTAATCTACTAGACAGCAAAGACTCTTTTTGTCTAAATGGGATTTTCATTTTAAAATACCCTACAGCAATTACACCATCTGATTCTTTAGAGGTGGCTCTTTCGAGGAAAATGCTAGTGCTAAAAACACATAGTGGTGTACCATGTTTATTTCTAAATTTCATTCTGGAAATGAAGTGATATATCAAACTAAAAGCCAGTTATGGAGACTAGGACTAGTTTCTGCAGGTGAGTTTGGATGGCCATTTTTGAAAGAATATGGCATAAAAGTTGGAATATCACTTTGAATTTTAAAAATTGTCAGTGAAACAAAGCATCCTTTAAATTGCATGCAAAGCATATTTTGTATTTAAGGGTAAGATATATGATATAGAATTATACATGTGCAGGTTTTAAAAGTTCGTTCTTTTTTCCCCAAAAGAACTTATTTTTGGACAAACTTTCAATTTGAGCTTTTTTTTCTTCTGCTTTTGTTTGTGCTACTCCCTTGAGATTAATGCTGATAGTCTTTTCATATGTTTTTAATTTGATTCAGTTTTTAGCTTGTTCCCTTACTGAGTTTGCCGACTCATTTAAACTCATTCCATCTTTAAAAAAGGAGAATTAACTTAAGGGTCTAATTGTTTATCATGTACTTTGGAGGTTAAGTCCAGTTTTCATCTTGCTACAGTTTCCTCTCAAATTCTGTTTCCAGAGTTTTGTTACTACATCTGCTGTTTGTTCCCTTATAAATCTTTGGCTTTTCATCTGCTAGTTCTTGGTCTTTGGGTTAGGGTGGGAAAATACCATTTCCCCCTCTTCCATGCATTTTCCTTTTGCAGTGGCTTCTGTGTTGTAATTTCTAATATCTATACTGAAAGATAAGGCACATGGAAACATGTTCCACAGCATGAGGTTTGAGGTTAATGGGTTTGCGTCGTATTAGGAATTGACTGAGATACTCAGAGATAGCTTTTCTTTTTTGATCTACAGGCAAATGCTTTGGTTTATACATTTCCAGCTTTTGTAATCTTCAGTTGTTTGGGGAAGATCCTCCTAACCATACCCTAATGTTGTGGGAGGGATTCATGTTCATGGTCCATGGAGCATCTTTTAGGAATTGCATAGACATAGACTCTGTGGCTAGCTCACAGAGGAAGCAAACAAACCACATACATTCTGTGCCTCCATCTGATAGATTCCAGAGCTGATTCACACAATGGAAATGGGAAAATTCCACTTTTGTCAACGTGAACCTGGTCTGAAGAGAGATGAGCAGAGGAGAGAGCAGAGGAGAGGTTCCATATATGCGTACAGTCATGCTATGTGTTTAATGAGTAATGTAAAGTTGTGCATTGGGGAATGCAATGCAGACAGGTAGCAGAGATTTCTAGTTCTTGTTTCATCTTGTGCATGTTTTTTAAATCCAGGACATGTAGACCACTAATCTGTGAAGGATAGTTTTTATCTGGTGGAACATATATTTTGTAGGCCGAGTTTGAGATTATAAGCATCCTTATAACGGTCCTGATGTCTGTTGACTAATATGTCTTTTTCCCCTTTTTCTTCCTACATTTTCTGGTACTTTTGGTGCAGCATTGGATCATGAAACAGTGTTACTTATCTCTGCAATATAGATAAGTTTAAGCAAATCACCTAGGTTTCTATTTCCTGATCAGTGATGGAGAAATCTTGGTTTGTGGTTCGACTTAGAAGTCCATATTGCAGGAAATGCATGTGTTTTTGCACTTGTGCTGCAGTATCTATTGTCAGTGTGTGGCCCACAACGCTGCAGAAAAGCATGCTGAAGTATCAGAGCTGACTTGGATTTCCAGAAGCTTGCCTGCTCCTTACTTTAATAGTCTTTTCTTCCATAAACATTTACAGGCCTTCTCTTCTTTGAGCTCAGGCACCTAGGTGGTATGACTAGTCCTTCAGACCTAAAAGTGCACGACCAGGAAAGTTGATCTAAAAGAATGACCTAGCAGCCACAATTTTATATGCCCTTCTGTCTCAGCAAACTGAAGCTACATGTTTAGGAAGGCAGTAATTGATAAATGAAAATGACAGTGAAGTCTTGATTATCCTTTACCACCTGCACTTCGGTTTGTAGTGCCAATGTAGTAGCATAGGAAGGAGAAAATAGACTCATTATTTCAATTTTTTCACAAAATTGTTTTTTTTTAACTCCTAAAATTTGATTCTCTGTGGCTACAGAATTGTAATAGTTGTGAATAAAGGAAGATGCTGCTGTATTTTTTCTTTTTTCCTCTTAGCCTATTCAGGGGGTAGTGTAACTTAAAGCATTTTCAGGCTGATAAGTTTATGGCTGTTTCTTCAACTTTTACTGATATCTTGGTGCTTCATAAGACCTGCATTGCTTTGTAGGTTTATTGAGTCCTCTGGGACAACTTTCTAACTCAGTGACGTGCATGTTTGGACTTGAATATAAGCAAACTGCTGCCCTGAATAGTATCTTTGCCTCAATTTTTTCTTTTTTTTTTTTGTTTTTTTATTTTTTTTTTTTTTTTTTTTTTACTTTAGATTTCTCAAGTGAAAAAATAAAAAGTCTGTTGCATTTCAGGTTTGCTGCCTGTAAAAAAATAATTGCTGTGCGCGCACTTGGAAAGACTTATTCTAGAAAGCTGGAAAAGGAATTACCATTTTGAGATACTGACGTGCTGTTTTTAGAAAGTGTATGGAAAAGTATGCAAAACTACATTTAGCATGAAGACATGTAAACTGTAAGATCTTACAGGCTCCTAATTTCAAGATGAAGAGAGTTAAATTATAGATTCTAATAGTATCTATAAATACTTTATAACTCTCTGAAATCTTTCTGTTTGCCTTTGTTCCTTATGCCTTTCTCTGTAACTTCTTTCCTTTCCAATCTCCAAGTCCTCTCTGTTCTACAGAGTGCACTAATTCTTTTTACATGTGCTAATAATATGGTCACAATGCCTTAGGCCTCAAATTTACAACCCAATCATTTCAAGACCCAGTTGAAGGTTTACCCTCCTTTGTTTCAAAAGTTCCCATGGACTCAGCTCAGTTACGCAAGGCTACTTCAAAACCCTTTTTGTTTGCTTCCCTGGAGACTCCCTTTTCCTAATGTAATATTGGTCCTGTTTCCATTGTTAACAGTATTTCACTTTTTCCTTTTTAAGATACATGAAGTTTATATGTAATATTTAAATTTAGGAAAACGTTTAAGGCGGCTCTCAAATTTCATTCAGATCTGTATTTGTTCTACTTTAAGTACTGCCCCGTAAACTTATTTTTCTCTAAAATATTTGTCCTAACTTTGATTAATTTTTAGTGCTTAATTCCTGACTGTCCGCTCTGTTGTACAAGGTTTTTACCATTCAGAATTTCTGAGGCAAAATGGAACGCACAGACCCAGATTTATTTATTTATTGATTCATACCTGATATAGAGTGAAGAGAAGGGGATGAGAAGATAAGAGTAAAAAGCAGCTTATTCTGAAATGAGATCTGACCTAATGGCGGAAAAACTTTTGCCTACTGATACTTGTGTTCCTTCTTGCTATTACAAAACTGATCAAACTATATTTTTGCATTGCTGTTCTATTTTGCTCTGCAACAACCTGAGGGTTTCCTGTGGTTGAATTGCAAAGCCCTATTTTGAGAACATAAGAGACAAGAAGAATGTTATCCTTCTTCGGAGAAGTGCATTCCGTTCATATGTTTCTCCCCAGTCCCTTCCTAATATGCTGTTGAATTCCTGTCTGAGGAAAAACTCTGGTACTAGTTTGGAGACTCAAAGTGAAAGTGACATCTCAGTAGTGTAAATAGGCTTCCTGAAGCTATGGACATTTAAAGCTCTTGCCATTCGGAACTAGTGTATCTAATATTTGGTCTCCAAGTAAAATCTTCAGGTCTTTAAAGTTTTTAAACATCAAAAGCTGTTATACTCTCAGTGAAGTACAGTGTCCTGAAAGTATTTGTGATATAAACATTTTTTGAATGGGAAAGTTCATTGAAGGCACACCTGCTCAGCTGCAAGCGTTTCCTAAGAAATGAAGTTGAGGTGGTCATCAAGTATGATAATCACAAGATAGCTCTGCATTCCAGCCCACAGCTGAATACTGTGCCTGGCCAAACAGCTGCCATGTGTCACGATTTGCCCCACGGCTGTTAAGTAACACGGTTTGTCTCCAGTCCCTCCTTGAGAGGTCTATTCTACAGGAGCAACTGGGATTTATAAGCACCCACTGTCTGTCATCATCAGTGGATTTACTGGCCTCTGTCCTCCTACTTGGTACTTGTGAAGCTACTTCTCAGGACATACTGGGTCTTTGGTTTGTTGCTACAGGGACTGTAAATGCATACTGAGTCTTTCTACCAACTTTGGTGGCCTTATGGTCAGGGCTGTGAAGTATCACATGGTCTTGAAATTTCCTTATGGTCAGCATCTTAAGCACTTGTGCAGAGCTACACTGGGCTTTTATCAGGGGCACCTTACTGCATAGGTAATTAGAAGCAAAAGTAGCAAAGATATGACTAGTCTGCTGCCATAAAGAGCAGTGAAAGAATTCAATAGCAAAGGAAATACAATTCTTTTTGGTGTATGCAAGTGATTTTCATTGGAATGGCATATCCTGAGAGATAAGAAAAAGACAATGTAAACAGGCAAATGAACAAATACAATGTGGATACCATGCACTGTGCCATTCTTCTGGTATAAAGTATAACACCTTTTAGTTTTGATTTTAATGCTCTTTGAAAGAACTGTACCAGTACACAGATAACTCAGATTAACTCTTAAAAATTGTAGTCTCTTAAAAGGGATCGTCTGTGTCACAGGGAAGTATTTTTGGAAATATTCCAAGTAACTAAATTTGAATACTTACCTAATTTTTATCTTGACAAAATGTTACTGCCTTTTGAACCTGATGCTTGTTTATTCTGTCTGTGTTGCTCCTATGTTATTGGGATTTACTATGGGAGGGTGAGAAATTAATGTGCTCCGCTTCATCTTCTTCTTGAGGTCACAAGTGAAGGAACAATAAAATTTCTAGGCTGAAATGAATTTCATTAAAAGGAGATCTATTTAACCTATTGCAAGTTGTTTTTAATATCTGCCTTGGTGGGATTCCATGAATTTTGCATCTGTGTCCTGATTGATGTAGGGGTGGAGAAGTGAGCAAATAAAAAGTATCAGTACTGAATCTTACTACGTAATGAAGAAAACTTACTGTTACAGAAGGGGCTAGAAAAAGGAAATAAAACAGTGCTCTGGATTTGCTCATGTAATTTTTTAATTTGCTGTTTCCTTGCCCTGGGTGAGAATTAAAAAAGAGGTGGAAGAAAGCACAATGTAAGATTGCTGAGAAGATTATTTGTGTAGGAACTCCCTTACTTCCACTCATGTTTGCGTTGCTGTTTGCCATGTTTTGCCCCTTCAAAAATTTTGTTTTTTTTCCTATTTTATCTGTCTATAGAAGCTGTCTTCTTTTGTTGAAAAACATGAGCAACGAATCCTTCATTTGCTTCTGTTCAGCAGTAGTCAGAGTGTTGTTGTGTCTAATGCTTTTTGTTAGTTAATGCATTCCCCTTCTGTGTGGGGGAAAAAAAACCGAAACAGTATAAAGGTGTATATAATTTTCATTTACATCTGCACTTTGTTCTGGGACACCTGAGAAAAATGTGACTGGTGGTGCCCATATTAGATTGAATGCTGTACTGTGATCAACAGAACTTGCAAAACCAACTTTCTTCTGCTTTTTTTGTTTTCTTTTTAATATCCACCAAAACATGCCTTGGTTTAAAGTGCTCAGAAGCACACAGGTGCTACTTGACCACCACGCAGAATATTTACCTCAGGCCTATGCTAAGTGTTACTTTTATAAACCAGAACCCTTAAAATTGAAAAAGTAGAATTGTCTTTAAAGCAACCACATGGCTCTACGTAATAAACTGTGGTAGGGCTCAGTACTTTTATTAGCTAATTAAACTGTGTTGAGAAAAATGCTTTGGGAACACACACCTGAATTTATAACAGAATTCATTCTGTACTTCTACCATGTGGAAAGGAAGCGCATCTGGGAGTGAGTGGGAAGAAAAGCTTTTTCAATTGCTTAAAAAGGAGCTTGAAGTTTATTTTTTTAAGTAAAGTGGTTAGTTTAGGAGGGAGCTCAGCAAGCTCTCAGCTAGGTGGGTTTTCCCATTGGTTTACTGAACCTGAAAGAGACACTGATTTATAGGAAGCATGTCTCACAAGTTCCAGTTCTTTGGCTTTCCCTAGGTGCAATTGTCATGACATGCACTTCTTGCTAAATAAGACCACCATCTGCAAGTATTTCTCTGTGGAATTCTGTAGTCATCCTACAGAAAAATATACTTTTGTGTACATCTTGCTTTAAAGTAAAGCTTTATCTCCAGAAGTACCACCTAATCATTTTGCTAAAAAAAAACCCCACCCCTGTTCTTTGTAAAATTCATGAAATGGAAAACCAAATCTGAATAAACGATAACCTGCTAAGCCACTCGCATTCACTGTTGTAAATGAAGCTCTACCTTTGTTTTTTATCTCCAACAGACAAACAACAGAAAGGTGAATTTGCCTTAGAGGGCTACACCATCAGAATGAATAATAGCCTTCGGAAGGACGCAAAGAAAGATTGCTGTTTTGAAATCTCCGCTCCTGATAAGCGCATTTATCAGGTTGGACTTTTTATGTCAACTTGAAATTAAATTGATAAAGCCGTTACAATTCCAGTTACTGAATTAACATTTCAGTAAAACAACTTCCACTGACATCTTAATAAAAAAAGGAAATCCTTGCTTGCTTATACTATATATTCGTACATTAGGGAAAAAAAAATCTAATTAAAAAAATATATGTATGCATTCAAATACTATCATTTTGGACAAGAACAGGGAAATCTATCATCTTTATCTTTGTCGTTTCAATGTTAGTATTTTAATATCATATAGTATGCCTGTATTATTTCTTGGATGAATTAAGTAGTGGAAATAAAAGTTAAACAAAATATCTATCAGTGTTAAATACGTATTGTATTGGTCATGGCTTTGCCAAGTATATCTGCTTAAAGGCACATATCAGCTGTGCAATTCAGAGATCTATCAGCTAGACATCAATATGGAATGTAAGTTTAATAAGTTTTAAATATCTGAGATTGCAGTTGAAAGCCAGTTAATTAAGCTGTCAGGTAGTGTGTTGGAGTCTGACAAGAACATTTTTAAGAAAACTGTACCCAGCAGTCTAAAGAAATTCATGGGTGTCTTCTAATTGTCAAGGGCAAATTTTGTTCATCAGTTCTGGCTTTGACATTGATGAAGAGAAGCAGCTTTTTTTCTGCACAGCTGCCAGCTGCTGATCAGAGTTTCAAATCCATCATCCTCTCCTTCAATTACGTAAATTTGTCAAAATTAGCTTTACATTATAAGAAGCATCCTTGCAAGAAAAGTACCAGAAGACATGCAAAGAATTACTAATGGTTTCTTGAGGAAGTGGCAAGAATGCTGCAGACCCTTTTTTTATTGCTAATGAAATTGTAGTTATGTTTTTGTCATTACTACTACTCGTTATTAATAAACGCAGTTTATTAATTTTTATTATTAATAGTTTACAGCTGCCACTCCCAAAGAAGCAGAGGAATGGGTACAGCAAGTGAAATTTGTAATTCAAGGTAAACCAGCCAGAAAAGCTGTATCCTTTATTATCAATACTGCTTAGTGATGGTAGTGCTATCCATTAACAGGCCTGTCACGTTTGTATCTCTCTTATTACTACTTATCCAAGTTTTGAATAGCAGCTCCTGGTTCTCAGTCATCTTGTGGCTTTTACATGACTTTTCTCCTTATGCAATATATTTGCTTTTCCTTCCAATAATACCATATAACTTGAAAACTTTGTTATGAGTGTTTTAAGAAAATAAGCAGAATATACTGTAAGAACCAGCTTGTAAAATGAAACAAATTATGTTTTCATTTTGAATGAATTTATCTTAGTTTTCTTATTTACGAAACGTTGACTTTGCTTTTACGTAGATATGGAATCTAATACTATTCCTGAGGAAGAGGAGGAATATGATGATGTTGGACATGCAAGCAGTGAGCCAATAGATGACAGCATTTATGAAGAACTTCCAGGTATTGTTGAGATTTTTTTTTTACTTTATGTCTTGTGATAATTTTGTCTTCTCTGCTTCTGGTTTGATAACCTGAGTGGATAAAGCAACCTGATAACTAAGATACATATTTAATTTTTCTGTGACATTAGATGTGTCTTTAACCAGATCTGAGTGAGAACAGTTCAGTTTTCTTTAGCAGGGGCATCAAAGTAGTGCAGAAAATGTAAAGGTGGTCTTGAGGGACTTTTAGCTCATTAACATTTTCTAATATGTAATTTTTTTTTTTAAATTACAAAATTGACTTGCCTTACAGCTTTTTCTACCACCTTCTTCTCTTTGTTTTGCTATTTATATTAGGCAAAAGTTTTCTATTACTACAGCTGCTGCCCAATACAGATTTTATGATCTTGCAAGAAAGCAATGTGTTGGTTTGAAGGGGCTCTGGAGATGAACTCTAAATAAAGACAACTTGAGCACTGACATGCTTTGTTTCATATCTTCCTGCATGACTATGGTGTGACAGACAAGATTTTAGTGTGAACAGCTTTTGAATTGATTATAGGTATGTAAGTGATATAGGAAGAAGGTGTTTGATCTTTTTTATATTTTAAGAAGCTATTTTAGAAGTTACTATTCAGCCACCATTAGTTAACAAATAATTTAAAATGGTATGACAGTGATCACTTGCATGACACAACATTCTGCATCCCTTGCTGTTTGAGTCAGTGCAATTATCAGCAGTAACATGAGAGAAAAATCCTGTAAGGTCACATGATGCTGACTAACTTTATTTATCTTCAGGATTGAATATTCTGTCTATGGGAGGCAAAAAAAATAACAACCACCCAAACATTTTTAAGTTTGTCTTGATTTTCATTTTAAGGTTGGTTCAATGAATTGTGAGAGAAGAAAACATGAGAGACCTACTAAAAAAAATTCAGAACTACTGCATAGAATTGGGGAATTCTATGGGGAGAGCTTCTGCAGTGAATATAAAATCTATGTTAGGCGGCTTAATCTTGTAGCAGGAGTAATGCACCCAAACACTGCAGTGCTTTTTGGATGCTCAGGCTCTTACAGAAGATGATCCTTTATGCTTCTTATATTTTCATTAATGAAGCTCCACACATGTTCTGGATAATTTTTTTCCTTCTTTCCTGAGATTTCAGTTATGTTACCCATTTGTTTGAATGTCAAACAGGAAGTAGGTTTTACAGCAGTAACATTAAATATTGGTGGAGGAAAAAAATTATTTACCCCCCATGATCTTGGAGTTTTTCGTTTTCATGCTGTGGATTAGGGGTTTACCTTCCTTATTTTGTGCCTTCTCCATCTTTTTTATTTTAATTGTAAGCTTTTCAAGAAGTCTTACTTTCTACAGTGGAGCTCAAAATTTTGGCTGTGATGTGTTGATGTAACTAGAAAATAAAAAGAAGCTTGCTATAGATTTTGAGTGACAATAATCTGTTTTTCTCTCCCATAAATGTACTTCAAAAGTCATTTGCCTAAATGGCAGTAAAAACTAATGTTTCTGTTGCCCTAAATCAGTCTTTCACTTCTTTATCCTTAACATATTGAAGGGCATTAGATGAAGTGCTAGTGGACAAATCTCATAGGCATAGGCCTTACTTGCTTCTTGTTATTCCGTTCACTTAAACTGATAGTAAAAGAGTATACTCCACTTTGGTCTCAGCTGGCTTCATTGATGGTAGGCTTTTAATTCCCACTGACTGTCCTTTTTATTTTCCCAGTAAGTGAATGTATTCTTTCTTCCTTTCATAGTCAAAAAGTGGAAGTCCATTATCCTTGCTGTTAGTTTACTTTCTAATCCAGAGCAAATAAGAATTTCTGAATTCTTATAGCTTTCAGTTCCCTTAATAATTTCTTGTAGAGCCCCAAAGCCATGCTAAACTCAGAAGGCACATGCTAGGTCCTTGTGAGGAGGAAGAAGAAATGTATTTTCACTTTGTATTGATCCTCAAAGCATCTTGATATTAGGTCCACTAACTTTCCACTCAGCAAAACTTTAAAGTCTTGTACTTCAGGTTTGCAGCTCATTGTACCTTGTCATTATTTATCTGGCTTAATTTGCCATTTCTCAAGGAGTCAGTTGCATAGTCTAGCGGTTTTTTTTATATCAACATTTCAAAGCAAATTGAACCAGTTCATAATGCAGTCAATTTTGTAATATTGGGCTTAGTATTACAATAAGGAGTGTTTGGATTAAAGAGAGGATATGTGTATTTTCTCACTATTTTGAAAAACTGAGTATTTTGAAGCGTAGCAGTAATCAGAATGGGCTGGTGCAGTACTCACTACTACCTCATTGCTTTTTGCCCCCCCATCTCTCATGTAGCAGTAGACAGTGTAGAAAAATGAATTTTCCAGACAAGAGCTCACTAGTTTCAATCCAGTAATAGTAATAGTCTGTTACCTATTAAAAGCTTAGATTTCAATGGAATTCAATTTGTACTGCTTACTAGCAGAAGAAATGGGCTGGTAGTTGCAGACGGTACAAAGACAGGTGGAAAAATTAGTCTTTATCTTTTAAAGCACTTTCTTCTTTAATAGCACATACAAATTCATATTTACTAGAAGCATCATTTGCCTGATTCTCAGTCAGTGTGTTTTACTGTGTTTATTTATGTGGAGCTTAAAACATCAGAACTGCTAAAGCTTTTCCAACTTTTAAATCTTCCTTGTGAGATTCTTTAGGGGGATAAAGAAAAGCTTTATACTTTTTCCAACAAACTAAACCACTGTTTAATTTTAAATAAAAGTGCATATGGAAAATATAGTTGAACAGAAATAAAAATATTGTCAGTATTTTGGGCTCTTAAAATTAGCTATTGATAAAATAGCTCTTAATTAGCTATTTATTTTCTTCTTTAGTACACTGTACGTGGTTTTGACATGGCAATTATTTATTGTGGTCCACAGAACTGATTCTTTGTAACACAAAATAACTTCTCAAACTCTAGTGTTAAACCATGCTATATATGTGCGTAGTTATATCTGAATGCACAGTCTTTAGTTTAGTGGTGTTTAAGAAAAAAGTACAGAGTTGCTCTTCTCAGAAGTTAGTTGTCATTTTTCAAGATTTTGTCTTTTCTCATCACTCCTGAAGACCAAATTTCTTTTAATAACCTGATCTTAGTGACTTAATTTTTAGGGCCCCTCTCTCCTTCATTCTTTGGTCTTACATCTGTGTAGACCATGTGCATGAAATTGCAGTACTAACCACTGCCTGCCACCGTGATCCTTTCTGAAAAATCGGTTGTGTTCTTTCTATAACAGTCTTGCACAATAAGGAGGACAGCAGTCTTAATATAAGCTCTCATCCTTATATTATTTTTCAGTCTTGTGTTATTTTTTTCAGTTCTCATTCTGCTTGCAAACTTGCAGGATAGTAGTAGTTTCCAGTGCATACAGTATAGCTTCCACCAAAATGATTCTAAAGATAGGGTTTGATGATTTCTTTGGTGCTTCTTGGTAAGGTTGGATGTCTTAAGTGATGTGGTGTAGTACAAATCTGAAATTTCTGGCTTTGCGTCATTTAATTTTAACCTGTCCAAAAGATAAAGAATATTTGGGTAAGAGGACAGTGAAATTCAGTGCTGTCTAGCCAGGGGAATTGCTGTGGGGAACTAATCCAGCCAACACAACTTGCGTCAGTCCCTACTTGGCTGTAGATTAAATTTTGGGATTGGTTCAGTGTTTGACTGGGACAAGGATCATGGGACTGAAAAGCTTGCCTTTTTTCTTTTAACTCTCATAATCATTCCTCTGCCAAACAGTTTGATCAAGCCACAGTATCTGGACAGTAATTCTGTTTTGCAGTGCAGTTGGAAGCTTAGCTAGGGAAACTCTGTAACCAAGGCAAAGCTGGGGGAAAGGTAAGAAATGTCTTAAGTTTTATGCAACGGAAAGTGTGCTATGCGAAGAAACCTTTTTTTTTTTTTTGTGGTTGCTTATTTTAAACGAAGTATCTTAAAGCAATAGCTTTAAAATTATATTGATGTTGTTTCAGAACATATTTCTAACACTGCTTATGAGAATGATGGAGAATGATCAGTTTGTCTCTGACTCATGATTGTCTCTCAAAGCAGCTTTATTGTCGTAATTTTTAACAGTTAATCTCTGCAGCTAAATAGCATAACTTAATGTCCTTATCATCTCCTGTTACTGGGTCATTTGAGCTTTGAAGAAGGAAATTGTATATATGATGTAACCTTTTCGCAACTTGAAGGGGGGAGAAGGCAAGAATGTGATCCCTGGTTTACCTCTAGGGAAGAAAGAAGTCGTGATTGTTTAGTGAGGCTTGAGTGTAAGCTTGACCTGTCACTCACAAACACAAGATTATAGCAGATATTTCCATCCTCAAAATGTAGTGTCAGATGTATCGACTTTCTGGTGCTTGCATAGAGGATTTCACAATGATGTGTGAATGTACCTTTTCAGTAGATCTGTGCTTGCTTCAGAGTTTTCAATATATCACTGCCAGGGTCTGTTTGGTGCCTGGCAGTCCCTGTTGTGGATCATAGCTGTATGAGCAGTTCCCAAAACCAGTAAGCTAAAACAAAGAAACCGTTAATGGATCAGTGTGAATCAGAGCAGTAGGTCTGAGTCAGCAGAGAAAAAGATGATTATGGAATCTAACATCTTATTTGTGAAGATTGCTGTTTAGTATATTATATATCCTGGTATATTGTCAAAATTCCTCCCAGCATCAGTTATTTATCAAATATTTATGGAATTCCTTACTCGTTTCCCACAAAAGTAATATATAGTACTGTTGTGCTATTTAAATATACATATATTTTCTTTTTCCCCACAAAAAGAATTCTAACTGTATTTTATTAGAAAATGACATGATTTCTAAATCTAAGTAAAGTCTGGGATATTTGAAGCTGAAAAGTAGATCAGAATTTTCAAGGACACTCATCTAAAGATGAGTGTTGAAAGTAATTACCGAAAGTGTTTCGAATTATTTCCGTTAAAGCATATGAGGTGGTTTTT